TGACTCGAGCAATTTTTTTCCATTTGGTGACTTTTCGTTTTACATGAGCTTTGCCCTCGTCTTAGCTCCTTTCCACTATCAGTGAAGCAGCAAAACTACGATTCCCGATAGTCAGTGGGAGGTGTCTAGTCCCGCTCGACGTCAAATTCTATGGAATTCGATAAGGGCACAGAAAGATGTTGTACGGAAGGAAAAAATTTGAAGGGCGGAGGGGTAAGTGGGTTATACTAAGCGGAGATTTTCCTCAACGTTAAGACGTGCCCCGAATATACGCCCCGAGGCGCCTCAAACAGCTAAAATATGAAGCCAAAAGACTGTGGCTCCAGAAATCTGTCTGGACGATCTAGTTAGGTGGAATTCCTGCAAATTTTTGATAATGATTCAAGATAATCTGCTGAGGTTGACTGAAGGTTTCGTAGGGCTCACCAGTGGCAGTAGTCTCAAGGCGAGTTCATGGGACAAGGCATTCCCTCTATTTTCGTGGTCCCTGCTATAAACCGTGTATATTTTCTCATCCTTTGCGATTTGAAATTTTTCTAGGTATCGCCTATCTGTTTCTGCAGCCAGAGTCTGATGTCGAGAGGATGACAGATTCACCGTCAGAGTTCGAAGAAATCCCTTCAAAATTCCCTTCAACACTGATTTACGTTTTGATGACGCTAAACGTGGTTCGTTTTTGGATGATTTTTGATTAATGCTGATTCATTTTAGAGTGAGTAGGCTTATTCCACCCGTGAATATGAGAAATTGGAGCGTTATCGCGCATGTAGTACAGTTCCGTTGCCTGTCAAGGGATGATGTGTTTTAATTAGGGTACTTCGCATATTGGCGCTCCCCAGGAAGCGGGGTCGTATTTGGTCGCAAGAAGGGAGGGAGTCGTATTTGCCTTCATGGAAAATGTTTTGCACGTTGACTGTACTCGCGTATTACCGCAGATAGGATGGGAGAGGAGGAAATTGGTGTCGTACTGGATGAGGAAATTCTGTGTGTGTGTGTGTGTGTGTGTGTGTGTGTATGTGTGTAGGGGGCGGGGGGGGGGTGAAGGTCGCACTTCGCAAGGCGTTTTTTCGACGGTAGGACCTATCTGATGAGTATAGTATTACTTTCGTCATGTACCTTTCCCTATCGGTACTTGTAAAGAACATTTCTGACTTCCCATTATCCTCTGTCACCTCCTTAATTATATTTTTGCAGAGCATTGGCGTGCCTGCGATTCTTGCCTTTTCAAAAGGTGTGTTCGAAAAGTAAGTGGTCACTCAAGGAATGATACTTAAACGCCTCCTCAGATAGCCTTTTCTTTCCTCTCAAGCAACTGATTTACCCTGCTTACAGCTTTGGTCTCGATCCAACCACAGCTGCCTCGTTGTCTGTCGCTTTCCCACTCGTGCAGATCGTAGCAATTATTATTCTCCATAAGTCGCTATTAAATAGGTAAGTTTCATGCCTGAATAACGGCCCCAAAAAACTACATTATTCATTTACATCAATTTATTTATTTCTATATTAATTCCATTAACCACTATCTTCCAGGAAAATCCTTATTGTTGGCGGATACATTGTTGCTGTTATGGTTCAGGCAATGCTTCTCTTGACATCGTACTATCCTCTTCTACCGGTAGAGGTGAATTTTTCAAAGGCTAAGAACGTTTATAAATTAGTAGCGCCGTCTTGCTCGTTTTATGCTCGCCCGCCATGCTCTATTGAACCTGAGTAATGGTTTCTGCCGCAAAGATGGGGTGGGGGGATGAGGAGTTCATGCGCAGTGGCGCGACTATGTCCCTCTAAACCACATACAGTCGTCATCCTGACTTGATTAGGGCGGCAAGGGACGCGACGCGGCTGCGGTGTGTTGCGAGCGCGGCGATCAGCTGTTTCCAGCCTATTTTAGCCATTTTCTCCCTAGTTACGCTGTTTTGGCTGCTTTTCTCACGATTATTTTTTGTTTTTTGAGGTTGGTTGTCTTCATGAAGTATATTTTGACGTGAAGCGTTTTTTTGTAGTGGTGCTTTTGCGAATTTTTTCAGGTATTTGTTCAACTATCTGTTTAATTGTACGCAAAAAACCAGGAGAATCCCAATCATAACTGACCTTGTGAAGACAAGAAACAACTAATCGTGAGAAAAGCAGCCAAAACAGCGTAACTAGGGAGAAAATGGCTAAAATAGGCTGGAAACAGCTGATCGCCGCGCTCGCAACACACCGCAGCCGCGTCGCCTCCCTTGCCGCCCTAATCAAGTCACCGGATGACGACTGTACGTTTGCGCTCGATGGTACTGAGCTCATAGTCAGTGCACATCATAGATTAGGTGGAGTGAGTCGGAAGCGATAGAGGAAGGGGTCGTATTGCCTTGACGGACACTTCTTTTATTTCCTTACTTTCTAAAATGAAAAAGTATGTATGGTGGGGTTGCGCACATGGTTAACGAAGGCCGAACGGCTAATGCCGTTTGGACTCCAGAAATTTCGGCTCCGAGCGCTAGTGGATGACACTACGTTAGTTACCTGCGCTCTGCTAAGGCTGAGCCCAGGAGGTAATCGTAGTGTCCTCTCTTGGCGCCAGCGCCAAGAATGAGTGTCATACTCGTAATCAGGATGTTGAATTACCCCTATACAAGTTTTTAGTGGATTTGGTGGCTTAGGCAATTTGAAAATGAGCTCGGAGCCGAAATTTCTGGAGTCCAAACGGCATTAGCCAGGCCGAACTTCTCATTCGGTTTCGCAATATAAAATAAAATAGCAAAGAATAAGTTAGAACCTGACAGTTGCAGTACTAATGTGAAACCCCTACAAAGATGAAAATAACAGAGCCTGCTGAAGATAAGCAGCGCCATTGTCGTCTCAGTTCATATTGCTATATCCTTTCTGAGCGATTTGACAGATTTCAGTCAAAATGTTCTTGGATAAAATGTGAACTCTATAGAGTTCCCTTGTGTTTCAGCATAAGACGATTGCAATGAGTGTACTGTTCTGGTTGCTCGCCCTCGTGGTATGTGTTCCATGCAACACGGCGCTGTGCTTGATCACTGGTGGGTTGTTTTATTGAGATGCAAAAATATTGTTAAATATAAATATAAAATATAAAATAAAAAACAAAATGTAATATAATAAATAAAAATATTTTTGTCAAGAGGTTTACTCTGAATAACTCTGAAAAATGTTGCCTCACTTGTGCATGCACCTCTCTTATAGTTCTCAATGGTTAGAGATTCACATTCAAAACACTCATTACTCGTGCTCGATGTATTTAGAACAATTCATCGGTTCAAATGAGCAAATGATGTATGCAAGCCGGGGAAGAGCATTGATGTGGGTCCTGGCCACCATCAGGTAAACAAATAACATTTTTCGGCACTATCAAACTATCACAACACCTCGAAAACTCAAGAAAATTCGTCGAGACTTCGAGCATATGTAGGAGGTTTGTCGCGCGATTAACAACATACATAGGTCTGCAATCCAAGAAGTGCCAGTCTTACTCATCGCGGATGCTGGTTCGCGTCAGGAGGCTGGGTTGGTGGGGGGGGGCCAGCCCAATTTTCACCAATTGCTGTCGCTTGCTTGCTTTAACAACTGGTGGAGAGCGATCTGCACGCCAACCCCAAACCCACCCGACAAGCCGCATCGTCTGCAGCGAGCAATACTGTTTTCATTTTCCGGCGCCAGCGCTATTGAGCGCTCAGCTGAGGCTGACGCTGGAAGGAGAAGGAGCGGGCCCCTTCCTCAAGCCCTCGTTTCGCAGGGCCTGGACGGCCAGGCTGCCTTACGTTTGTACTGGTATTTGAAATGAACGCATAATAGTGGTCAGGAAATCGAATAAGCCTTAATAATAAGGTTATTTCGAACTGGATGGAAAATTGGTGACAAATAGCGCCGGCGCTGAAAAAGAATGTCATTTCCGTGGTCAGAGCATTAGGTACCCTTAGACAATTTTCTAACCTTAAAAATTAGATTTTAAGGGTGTCATGTGTAAGTGGATAGTGCCCATTTTCTTTTGCTTCGCCACCTGATAATGTTACGATGTTTAGTACTGCTACATTCACCTGGACCATGGAAGTGTACGGATTTACCATCTGCTTCCTTCCATACGTCATGATTTCTGCAATGTTCCTTGCTGTTCTAATTTATGTATATCCAGAGAATATAAAAGAGGAAGTATAGTAGATAGTATATTGTATACCTAGAAATGTTAATTATTGATTTTTCCAATATGTGTTTTTCGCTGTTCCCAACTCTTCCATTACATTCCATCGATACTTGTACATTTGTCCGTTTGAGATATGACGGAATATTCACAATTTTTTCCATATGTTTCGCATAGATCCAATATTCACAGGTACATCAAGTTTTCCATAACCATGTAAATATGAAATCCATCGCGATGAAAATGAACCTTGAAGACGCGCTTACAATAAAGTGAACACCACGAGTAGTTGTTATTGACAGTCATAACCCTGGCAGAGGGCATGTAAAGGGGCTCAATTGGAGCGTAGCCAAAACAGAATTCTTCACAATTTTTGTGGGCTCACGATGGCACCGACTGGTGGAAAAAAGGCTATCCTGGTTCGCTACTACCCTCCTCACACGCCTTCGCCTCCTCACACGCCTTCTCGCTGGGACCGATGATGACTGTACCTCGAATATTAGATACGTTGGATTTTTAAATATTGTTGGTGGTAGAAGAAAGAAGCAAAGGTTCTACCAGTATGGCCGGTTACAGTGAAAAGGATAGAGTCAGATGGAGTAGAGCGAAAGGAATCGCTGTACCTTTACTGAGCACTTCCTTCGGGTCAACTTTATCAACCATCATGCATGGGCACCCAGTGTACCCGTAATCTTTCTGCAGTTGCCAGAATGAACACTTGTCTGCCCAGAAAACGAGGCCTCAGAGAACACCAAGAGACGGATCGTGAAATACGACAGTTCTTAAAGGAATTCCTTCTCGTCTTTGACAATAACTGAACACCATTGTCATAGCAGAAGAACGAATAGATT